ATAACCATTGCTCTGCTGCTCTAAAATATTGTGAAATATCTACTGATTTAAACCATTCATCCATATTTTCAAAACTACCATAATGATTTCTTTTGGTTGCATGATCATATTTAGCATGTTTTGGGCAACGATGACATTTTACTGCATGACTTGCATGACCGCAAATCTTTCTTGCAGCAGGAACATCATTAGCTGATAATATTAATGCTACATATATCTTGCGTCCTTCTTTATATTCAAAAGTTGCTGGTAATTTTATACCAGAGGAAAATTCAATTAGCTCATCTACAATTGGTGCAAGATAGTTATTTATTTGATACTTACTAGGTTCATTTGGTCCTGGGATAATACCTAATGTTAAAATATTGCTTGGTTTAAATCGTTCTTCATGTGGTAAATTACACAAAACTCCATAGATCGCCCCAGTACTATATACTGTATAATCGAATAGTTAAAACCAATCGATATTAATAGCTAGGCTGCTATAGGTATCAAGTATGTCTTTTGTAAAAAATGGACTCAAATTATCTAGATCTATAGTGAAGGTTTTCCAGATATTACTTTTATAAATATCTGAGAAAACTCCATTTGGAATATTTCTATTACTAGAATGCCTTAATATATTCTCAAAGCCTGCTCTCTGATACATTATATAAAGTTGTTGCTTTATACTTCCAATTGGGTAAAGATTTAATGGTTGTAATAATGCACCTTCTTTTGTATTTATTAATTCTGCTAATGGTTCATGACATGGCGATCGTTTTATCATTGACCTATGATTAGGAAATTCTACATGTATACACCTTTTACATGCTGGTTGATCATCCTCTTTATACTCCTTTATTTCTAATGGGTTATAGAGTTTATGACACTTCGGGCATGAAACATATTTTTTATATTTAGTTAAGATGCCTAATGATGATTTTACAGTATGCATGGAAGCTGGTAACATATCTGCTTCATTTATTTTGAAATATTTGAGTAAAGAACAAATAAACTTTGTTAAGGCTTCTATACCCATATCAGGTATGTTGAATCTTTGCTGATATTTCATTACCCATAAGATTATTCAATCATTCGAATTAACTTCAAAATTGAACAGTGGATCAAAAACTTCAGGATCAATTTTTGTTAGAATAAAATTAATAAATTTATGTTCTTGTGAATCTATTGAAGATTTACTCGAATCACTTAAATTATTTGAAGAATCGCTTGATGAAGGCGAATCATTTGGCTTATCTAGCACTTCATCTTCAGTTATTATAGATTCATTATCATCAGATTCCTGATATACATCATATGGTTGTGAAATTTCTAAAGGTTGAAGATAAAGAAATAATTTTTAATTTCGTCTGCGCATGTAATTTATTAATAAGCAAATAGTCAAGCAAAATGATCTAGACGAAGCACATAATAGGCTAATAAAAGTAGCACAGTTAATTGAGAAACATTATG